TTTTTTTTTAATTTCAGATTATTGTTTCTTTGCTATTTAGGCGATATTATAATTGAACGATGGCTTCCCTATAAATCTCTAGCTCAACGTCGTACCATTATTCAACGTGCTGGTCCTCCTATAGTGTATCCAGAACCGCGTCATACGATCATTATTTATGGATCAGCTGAATCACGTATAGTACGAAAATTTGAAAAACTAGGTGTTGTTCAAGAAAATCCTGCCGATTATATAGCTCGTTATGGAGCATCACTTGTAGATGCAGTAACACTTGTTCAACTGGCCCGTAATGCTGGAGTTACTGAAGATATAGTAAAATTTTTTTCCAAAACAAAATCTTCTAAAAAAATATTTAAACTTTTTATTATAGTCGGTTCCGACATCATCATCTTCAATATATACAAGTATGCGTGGAAATACTGTTGATTTTGATCGGTCAAATGAAACAAGTACACCAGGTTTTACATTATCAGGTGAAACTAGTCGTGAAGGAATTCAACAAACTGGTGGTACACGAGTTACCAATGTTAGTAATGCAAATTATTCATCATCACCATCGAACTTGCTTCGTGATAGTGCTTTAGCTGCCAGTGATACTGTAATCCAAAGTGGAGGTTATGGTGGTGACGCTAGCTATATCGTTACTGATACTAACCGTAATGAATAATTAAAACGAACAGAATTTCAACAATATATTTAAAACATTACTTGAATAAAGTTCTTTCGCTTTCTAATTACACGCAATTCTTTTTTCTTCTATTTTTTATAACAAAATATCTAACCTATATAATAAAAGACAGATCAAACGCTATTGATACTACTATCAGCTGAATCATGTTTTCTCCTATAACATATTGGTGTTACGTTTAAGCGAGCTCTTTTCAATGTATCATACCATACATTAGAGTGTATGAACGCGTCGTGATGCGTTTCTTTTTTTGTCCCCCAAAAAAAATTAAGACATAACTATCATTCTGTCTTGAAATTGAACCGATACACCATAGCGAGATATGATATAACACTCAAATCCTATGAGCAACAGAGTGGTGATTTTTCCAATCACAGCTTGAACGAAAATTTAAACATATGAACAGTCGATTACGAATCGAACACAAGCAGCTCTGAACTAAACACAGCTCGAATTTGTTTCGATATTCATTAATTTTATCATTAGCTCGTATCACACTACTTGTCGCAACTTTGCCAATAGAGTTGTTATGTTTTTACTTCGTGAAATAAAAATAAATAATATATTTATCGGAAAAAATCGAGATAAATATATTCTTGATATTAAGAAAAACATTTAAATAAAGAAATAAACTTTTTATATTAAAAAAAAACAAAAACTACGGAATAAAAAATCGTACTCTGTGATGGATAGATATATTAATATGTAGTATAAAGGCATTAATTTACATTTTTTTCTTGCTACTAGCACCTCAATATCCAATGTTAATAAAAAGTGAAGACGCTAGAAGACAAAATATATACAAATATTCTTGTCTATGTAAGTTTTTGTGATTATTATATCAAAATTTGTTTTAGGTATCTGAGGGAAAAATAAAATATTAGGTTCTTTTTAAAAATAAACCGTCATTTTCATTTAATTTTCATTATTCTTATGAATAAAATATTCATTTATCTTTTTCTTAAAAGCATAAATTTTAAAAAATTGTTTATCTGCATATTTGTAAGTAATAAAATTCCGTAATATCTTTATCTTTATTGCATGAATCTAAGTTTCATTTCGAGTCATTTTATTATAGAGCACAATAAAGATGAGCCAACGACTCTATTTGAAAAATCACTTATGTAATTTCGATAAAATGAAATAATTGGAAATAAAAGTATCATATGCAAAGAATTTATTTGTTTATCTAGGCAATAAATGATGAAATGGGCAACAACTTTATGATTATATTCTACCGTCTGCCTATTCTTAAGCATTTTAGAAGTAATGTAGAGCGAGACATATAATTTCGATAAAAACTAAATATTTTCAATAAAATGTACGCATATAACAATCTATTATCATAGACATACTGATTTACATGATTAATCTGTTAAACCAAACCCAAGTTAATTATATTTTAATGATAGTGATGCAGTCTAAATGCTAAACTCTGGTTTGATTCCGACACAAAGTGATGATTATTTTCTGACTTTTTTGAGAATAAAGTAAATGCGTTTATCTTATAAGTATATCATAGGTAGAAAAGCCACAAAACGTATATTAATACGTTTTCAATAGGGACGAGTTTACACGTGTTTTGGCTTTCGAAAACGCGTTCACACGGCTTAAAATGTTGCATATTGGACGCGTTCAAACGGTATCTTTTGATATAAACCAGTCAGGATGCTGTAGAATTGGAATTAGGAAGTTGGTTTTATTCGTTCCAAACGCGTCCAGAGCTCCGAAAATGTTGCATTTTTGGATACGTTTACACGCGTCAAGTTGCATAGCTTGTAGATGTGTTTAAGCATGGGTTGGTAAGTAATAAGATGCTACAGAACAATTGCAAATACTTATTGCCGACGGGCTCAACGTTCGTGATCATACTCTTATACATCTTGTTGAACAATTAAGGATTCATTTGCAGAAGAATTGGAACGCATAATAAACACTGTGTGAAATAAGCAAAACTATCAAGCAATAAAAAAGATATTGATGCATTAGAGTAAAAGAAAAAGTTGAATTTCATGTTCAATTGGTGATAACTATGATGCGTTTATATCGAAGTTAAAGTCAATGCTCGATCAAAAGACCTCGTATAGCCCAGAGAGTAAAGCACATGAAAAGTAAATAGTGAGGGACGAAAATAGCCATGCCTTTGCTTGTAAAAATATGATTTTCACCCATCGACAATCCTAAACCAGTGACTTCAACTATGTTTGTATTAGGTCGTACAGCTGGATGGAATTGTTTTCCTTTAACATGAATCGTAGTTGATATTAGATCGAGTCCATAGAAAGTCAACGAGTCCAGAATCAAATTTGACATATGTGGATAGCTATTTTGAACAACATTCATCGTTAATTGACCATCTCTTGATGACCAATTGAATGTCGCATAAAAATAAGTTTTCGAAGAAATTGTATCGATTGATTCACCATCATCATAGAATAGATCACCGTCAGCGTTTCCATTAGAATCAATCACAATGGTGAGACCAAATGATTGTTCTCTAATGTGTTGGAAAATTTGAAGAAATAAGAAAAAAAAAACATTAAAAATTATACGCTCATTTTTACCTTGAAAATTTTGTATTGTTAGCAAAGCCTTGTGTTGGCACAATAGCTCCACCTTTAAGCAAAATAGGAATTGTATCTAAAGGTGCTTCCATTGATATCGATTGTTTATTTGCCGGAATCCTTACACCCGTATAATAATTGTACCATGGTGATGATGGAATATAAACTTGAACTTGTCGAGCATTTTCATCAGTCACAGGTGCTATCATAATATATGATCCGATGAGAAATTGAAGAAATATATCTAATGTAACTTTATCTGTCGGATATTCATGAAATAGTGGTCGAATTACTGTTGAACCTTGTGTATGTGCTTTGTAGAAAAGTGTATAATAATAAGGAAGTAGAGTATAACGAATACGAAGTGTGGAAACCATAATAGCCACAGCTGATGTAGGCCATGATGCTGGATCTTGATCTGGTGTATCTCGAACATTATGCTAAAAAAGAATAAAATATTCTTGTATTTGAATATTAATCTATGTGTAAATTTACATTTCGAGAAAATGGATAGAAAGCACCAACTTGCATCCAACTAGAACAAAAGAGTAATAATTGATTTCTTTTTTTTTGAAAAAAAATCATATAGAATTATTACCGAATACACATTTCTTCACTTGGTATTCCACCGAATCCGCATATATCAGCACCATTAAATGGAATGCCAAACCAATTGAATTCAATCATACCAATTAATGATCGTTTCATTTCATCCCATGTTGCATCATTATCTCCTAGCCAATGACCACTCCATTGACCCGAACCAACAAAAGTCGATCGAGGCAAAACTAAACTTCGTTTACCAGTTATTAATCGCATTGCATCTAATGTTGGCTTCGTTTGACTCCATCCATACAAACTAGAATTAAGCAAAATTTAATATCTTCGATTTATATAATTATAAACTTTTCATACCTGTGTACATCATAATGACGATACTTTGGTTGACCTGTTTTCGGATCAATATCACCTTGTCGAATTGACATGCACATTGTACGATCGGAAATACGAGCAATTCGATCCCAATTACCATCGTAACGATATACAGCTTTGGTTCGATAAGGTGGATTATCCCATTCGTTATATGGACATTTTAATGTGTGATTGCTACCAGTTTGCATCCAATTCCATGGAATATCATTGTTAGTATCAAAGAGAGCTGTCAACAAAAAATGTCAAAAAGTTCAATCATGTTTTCGAAATATAATCAATAATGAAAATTGAAATATCAAACAAGAAATTTATTTCTTTTCTTTAAAAACATAATAATGAATAAAAATACCTTGATAAATTTAAACAACAGAAATAGGGTTTTAGAATCCTATGTGTACAAAAACATCGGACAAAACACTTCGTTCATAGTACCTTCCTCTGAGAGATGGTACGCAATGTTTCGAAGAAATATAAAACATTCCTAAAGACTTTTATAAAGTCTCTCATGTCAAATCAAATTCTTCTATTGAAGATAGTCTTGTCTCTGAAACGATCATAAGATATATTAAGAAAGCATTATGTTTCATAATGCAATCCTATAATGATTACTCTCAAAATTTGTTTTTGTTTTTATCAATATGGTAATAAACATACCCGGTTCATTCATATCAATCCAAAGTCCATCAAATGATACATTGATTCGTCGAAAATCATTTATCCAACGTGACCACCAAACATGAGTTTGATTGAGAAAGAAATCTATGTGGAAAAAAAA